ATAGGAAATCCGCTCCCATATATAAAGTAACCCACACACACAAACAAATCGATGTGAGTTGTCCCACTTCCATTTTCACGATGTCTCCTAATCGTGTTTTCAAATTGATTTTGTGCAAAAACAATTATATTTTTCCCATTTTTGGCGCTGTTAGAACCACCACAAGGTAATTTTATGTAGTCCTGTGAAGTTTTGTTGAAATCGGTTGAAAAATGTAGGAAATCCGATCCAATATATAAATGTTACAGACACACACACTCTGCGTTTTATAATAAGTAGGATATTTTTTATTTTTACAGAACAGTGTTCAATGTAAATTTACAGAGCATAAATATTATAAATTAACTGATTTCAAATAAGGTTTCTTTGCTACACAGGAATTACCATGTTTCAAAAAACGAAGTTAAAACTTCAGATTGAATTATATAATTAATTCAAAAGCATTAGCTCTGTTTAATCTTCAAGCGAATTTTTGAATTTGAAGATGAAACAGAACTAATGCTTTTAATTTAATTATATAATTAAATTTGAATTTTTTAGCTTCGGTTTTTGAAACATGGTAATTCCTGTGCAGCAAAAAAAAACATATTTTAAATCAGATAATATATATATATATATATATATATATATATATATATATATATATATATATATATATATATATGGGTCGCTACTTGTAAACAAAATTCTAAAAACAGTTATTTCTGAAGAAAGATCGAGGTCTATCTGAAATATCAAATATAAATAAATACTTTCATAAAAAACATTATTATTTTTTTGCATTTGCAACTTTTTATATATGTTTATATATATATATATATATATATATATATATATATATATATATATATATATATATATTTATATATATATATATATGTGTGTGTGTGTGTGTGTGTGTGTTTTATTTTCAGATACAGAATATCGGTCATCGTCGTCGTCGTCGGCATCCGTCCGTCTCGAGCCTGGGTGGGATATATGGAGAACCAGGGCTGCTCAGACGTCTAGTTCCCCCCTCGGCCTTACTAACATAGTCCAAAGAGGGGATAAACCAATACAGTTTGGTACCAACGCGGCTGCAGGGGTTGCCGGAATGTAAGCACAAAGTGTCGTCCATCCGCCTTAGGGGCTCCACTCCGAGTTTGAATTCAGAGTTGTCCTTCTCCTATCCATCCAAGGCCATAGAACCCAGTCTGTCCTGCTATTTACCCATATTACATATATATATATATATATATATATATATATATATATATATATATATATATATATTTTTGTGTGTATAAGAAATTTGTAAAGTTACTGCGCACATTTCTAATCATATATTTTATATTTCAGATTTCACTCCAAAATGGTTTTCGCAACTGAAGAACATTTATTTCTCGTCGATCACGTATTTCGAGAAGGTGGTAGATACATAGAAGATTCGCTGCGACAGCGTTTTTGCTGATAAATTTTCAGATACACCTGTTCCACATCGCAATGCGGTTCTTAATCTTGTTGATACATTTCGGGAAACAGGGTCAGTGTACGATGCCAAACGTTGTAGAAGGCCAGCAAAATTCTCCGAGGAGAAACTGCTGGATATTTGATATTATGCAGCCGAGTTCAAGAAAGTCATTAGGAAAGTTACCGTAGCAGCAAGATATTAGTCTTGGAACTGCTCATAAGGCCGCCAGACTAAAATTAAAACTCTTTCCAACTCTTCATCTGAAACAAAATAAGAAGGATCCAAGCCGGTATCGATGCCAACGAGCTCAAATTTCAACATTGGTTATAATTCTCATTCTTTTTCTTCTCATGTATTCTATATTGAAATATGTCTGTTAATAAATGTATAAATGCATACTGACTGCCGAACACTATATATATATATATATATATATATATATATATAGATAGATTGATAGATAGATAGATAGATAGATAGATAGATAATATTAGTGGTAAATATACACATACATATGCAATCATATATCTAATATATATATAAATATATATACATACATACACATACATATATATTTGTATAAAAAATAATTCCGATAGAATCAAGGTAGAACTCAATGTCCGGGACAGAGTAAGGATATAAAAAAATGCTTAAACACTAATATTCCATGGCCATAATTTATTCCATTGGAATCGTGAATACGATCCAGTTCATCAGATCTTTTTGAATTTGTAGGTCTGATGAATTGGATCGTATTTACGATTCCAATGGAATAAATTATGACCATGGAATATTAGTGTTTAAGACTTTTTTCATATATATATATATATATATATATATATATATATATATATATATATATATATATATATATATATATAGTCTTTAGTTTATCGCTCTACTTAGCGTATTGAGCACACTAAGTTTTAGTCTTTTTATTCGTTCCGGTTTTGTTTCTTCTCTGGACTAAGGACTTAAAACACTTGGCGATTTGTTTAGTCTTGTTCTGATGTTTGTAGTTCTTTCTATACACACACACACACACACACACACACACATATATATATATATATATGTTGTGAACAATAAAAATATTAAAAACTTTAAATCTTCAGACACACTATTATATTAATACTCTTTCGTTTTAATTATTTCATTTAGATTCCTCGACTAGTTTCGACCAGCATGGCCATCATCAGGAGAAGAAAAAATTCTGATTGTTAATAGCAGTGAACGACAGAAATGAATGACTTGATTGAGAAAATGAACTTTATCTGTATTTTTAATTTGATTTAAAAAAAAAAAAATTATCATGAATTTTGGTCAGACGTTGTGTTGGTCAGTCTCTTTTAAGTTGTTATTTAAGATAAGATCTGGATGGATTCATGCTGCTCTGAATTCCCTTGGCCATTTTGACAGTTTTATTGTTTCCTGGTAAGGGGATGTGTTAAGAGTGTGCGTGTTATTTGGTTCTTAGGGAGTGAGTGATTATGATGCGTGTAAGTGTGTATATTACTATGGGTGTGTGTTATTTGGCTCATTAGGGAGGGTGTGAGTATGATGTGTTTAAGTGGGTATATTAGTATGGGTGTGAGGCCTCAAAACCTTCGTAGAAATGTCTGTCTTGTGTGGGTGAGAAATGTGGGTAGGGCCTGATTTGTGGGGGTTATATGTTGTTAATTTTGTGATTAAGCCCGTCTGGGTGGAGCGTTTTTAGTTTTTTTTTTTTTTAATTAATTCATCGAGTTTAGAAAAATCATCAACAGAATGCAGAAAGCTCTGGACGGCTGTTTCGAGTCTAATTAGTAACCTATTGAGGCTCGTTGGTACAATTGGTATGACTTTTGCGTCGTATCGTAACGGTGCAGGTTCGCTTCTCAATCCGTGGGTTCGCACTGCTGATGAGTGCCAAATATAGAACGTAACGGCTGTCTAGTGCTTTCTGCATTCTGTTGGGGTTTCTTCTAGACTCGATGAGTTATATAGTTATCTTACTTATTATAAAACTCAGATTGTGTGTGTGTGTGTGTGTCTGTAACGTTTATATATTAGATCGGATTTCCTACATTTTTCAACCGATTTTAACAAAACTTCACAGGACTACATAAAATTACCTTGTGGTGGTTCTAACAGCGCCAAAAAATGGGAAAAATATAATTGTTTTTGCACAAAATCAATTTAAAAACACGGTTAAGAGACATCGTGAAAATGGAAGAGGAATAACTCACATCGGGTTGTTGGTGTGTGTTTGGGTTCTTTTAAATATGGGAGCGGATTTCCTATATTTTTCAGCCGATAAAACAAAACTTCACTTTTTTTTTTTTTTTGGTAGTGTTTCTTATTCTCTTGCACACTTTTTTTTTTTATTTTTAACATTCAGAATACTTTAAAAATTCCATTTACAAGACAATTATTTATAATAAAATTCAATCGGGAGACTCATAACGATTGAAAACAATGTTATTGTTTGAGTTTGGGTTTGACCAATTCCTAAAAAAAAACTAATTAAGACATGCGTGTCCGTCAACCTTAAACAATAATCTAACGATCTCTACTGATTGTACGAATACAAACATCGGAATAAATTCTTTATCTTTAGGGAAAGATAATGAAATCTAAACATACACAAGTCCTAACTAAAAATAATAACCGGGACGGGAAAGTACTTTAAGTACACATGGAGTCCAATTTTTTGTACTGTATTCAATAAGTAAAAATCATAAATTGTAAAAGATTATTAATACAGAAAGGCTACTAAATGAATAAGATTTGTTAGATCATAATTAATAAACCCAAATAAAGTTAATATTTTTTGTATTAGAAACAACGAGTGGAAAATATATTCAAATCAGAATTTAATTATGAATCACCACAAGCAAAATATGCAATTTTTATTACTGTATTCAATAAGTAAAATCATAAATTGTAAAACTAAAAGATTACAGAAAGGCTACCTACATTTTTTCAACCGATTTCAACAAAACTTCACTTTTTTTTTTTTTTTGTAGTGTTTCTTATTGTCTTGCACACTTTTTTCTTTTTTTTACATTCAGAATGCTTTAAAAATTCCATTTACAAGAAAAATTGTTTATAATAAAATTCTATTCAATCGGAAGACTCATAACGATTGAAAACAATGTTTTTGTTTGAGTTTGGGTTTGACCAATTCGTAAAAATAAAAAAAAAAAAAAAAAAAAATTAAGACATGCGTGTCCGTCAACCTTAAACAATAATATTTGTCAATTTTATTTTTCAGTCTTTATGATGGTGGATACTTGATCTATTTCTTACTGTTATATCCCCGGGCAACGCCGGGCTCTACTGCTAGTGATATATAAATTTAGAAAAATTGTATGATAAATTGGAAAAAAATGCTCTTTCAAAAAAAAATTAAAGAAAAAGCCGTAAAGCAAGACAGATTCTACGGTGACCTCAATGAAGTCTCTCTTAAGATTGTCAGAGAAGTAGGACCTCCAGACGGTGCCCGGATTAAAAATTAAACCTTTGCTTTGCTTACGTTTCGAAATACGAAACTATGGCCTTTCGACAATCATCTGAACGTGCATTCCTTAAAAGAGAGAGAGAGAGAGAGAGAGAGAGAGAGAGAGAGAGAGAGAGAAAGGAAGGAAGGAAAGATTAAAAGGCAGAGGTTGTGATTTTTTTTTTGTCTACAAAGCGGGACGCAGGTTCGAACACTGTCAGAGAGCTCATTTTCTTTATTAAGATTTCTTGAGTTCGCAGACCAATAGACGTATTACACCCTATTTAAAACAATAATGGGACGTCTATTTCAAAGACGGGTTTTCAATAAACGCTTGAAGTAATAAGGTTATGTAATGGGTGTCATGTGAAAAATTTCAGCTTAAATTTATACTAGGTTCTTTTAAAAATAAAAATAAAACTTAATTTAGGAAAATAAGAAAAAGAAAAATAATTTTTAGCAACCCTAGGAATTACTACCATGTGGGTTAACTAGTCACCCAGTGGACAAGCAACAGACGTTATTCTGTGAAAAAACTTTTAAAGTCGACCCGTCAGTGAGAAAGGCCCACACGGCTCAGGAACACACTAGACTTTCACGGCTGAATGCGATCGACCAGCGCTATGTATAATTAGGCCGGGAATCTGATCCGCAAAATAAATAAATAAATAAATAACGATTCGAGATGGTTCGGGAGAAATCTGTTCTTTTCTAGAAGACGTGATACTAGAAGCCTCTCGGGCCGGAACCGGAAGTGTTCCACCACACTAAAGGCGAAATATAAAAGGAAGAGTTTTGGTATGAACTGGTTGTTGGCAGAGATGGCTGGCGAGTTGTGCGGAGGCATTTAAACTGGGAGGGGGAAGATTGTAAGTGGAACGTACAAACTGACCCGTGGGTCGGCCGGTTGCGGACGGAATTAAGATGTCACCCCAGTAGAGAGCAGTTTAATAACCTGCCGCTAGCTAGGACCGACATTAGTCGTCTTTCTTTCTCTCACTTAATTCATACGAGCGGAAAAAATAAACCTGGAAGATATCAATCGAGGTCACCAACAAATTTGCGTCCGCGTGTTTTTTCTTTTTTTATAACATGCCACGGAATTTAATGCGATCGCAAGCGAACACATCACACATCATGTTTTAGAGCAATGAGTAGCATTGTTACAATAAAAATAAATTAATCAATTCTTTATAAATTGCTAAGATTAATGTGCAAGAAAGCGAAACAGATACAAAGACGTAGATGAAAGCCAAACTAGTTACGTTTCGGTGAAACTTTATATAGAGAGAGAGTCCTTGCTATGTTAAGCTCCAGGTAGTTTATTTTATTTTTATTTCATTTTAATTTTTAGCTGATCCAAAATTGTGTGTCGTTTGGCAATTATTTTCGTATGTCAATAAAAAAAAAATATATTAGATACAAGATACTAGCGAAGAACATCACATAAAATATTAGGTTGGACGGTTTGATCAAAATAACAAAGATCTAGATACCTGTCTGAATAATTCCTGTAATAATTACAACGTTACTTTCTAGTTATACCGATCTGGTCGATTCCTCATGAGGTCGGATTTCTAGAAATATAAGTATACAGCCACTCACTCATGACTAAGAATCAAATTTACAAAATGTAAAAAAAAAAAAAAAAAGAAAAAAGAAATCATTTCTCAACATTGACACCAACCAGGCCTTGTAGCGATTTAAGATTAAAAAAAAAAATAAAAAATAAGATATATAAACAAAAAAAAAAAAAATTAAAATTAAAAGACATTTGAGCGTACCTTTAAAACCCGGTACCTCCACTTGCTCACTGAAAAACAGCATACCATGATGAAAAAAGGCCCCAAAATTAATAAAATTAAAGTTTTATCGTCAAAATGTTTATGTTATTAAGAGGAAATACCAAAGTATTTTTTATTAAATTTTTTAATCCTTTCTAGAAAGTTCGAAAATTTGGTCATTTTTTTTTTACACCAGCGGCCGACGTTAATTTATGATGAGTATTTTTGCGCTTTTTTTTTTTCCGGTGAAAAAACGCATTGATTTGGAAATTCTTGCAAAAATTAAGTAATTCTCAGGACTTATTCACCAATGAATGAAATTATTTTTAACAATTTTTTTTTAGAAAATCTTGGTAAAAAAATACTTTTTTTTTTTACATACCGCCCAACTTAATTTCCTGAAATTTAGAGAAATTAAATTGTAATCTCTAAATTTGTTTTATTATTTAAAAGCAAGACATCTTGGAGAATGTAAATCACTAATTTTATTTTTAGACTATTGCCCATTTCCGGAAAATCTGCTCCGAATCTTAAAATAAAAAATTAAATAAAACTAGGACACTAGAAAAGCTTTTAATTGATTTTATAAAGAAAACACTATTTCCTTAAGAAAAACAATTTTGATGAATAATGAATATTTACATGAATTGTCTTCATTTTTTTTAACATTTTAATTATAATAATTTATAATATTATAAATCGTTTAAAATTTTGCATTACTTTAATCCGGTGAGGTGGTATTGTTATTAAGTGAAAAGCATATTTACGGATCACAAATTGAAAAGCTCAATAAAAGTCGTTTACACCAATTTAAATATATATATATATATATATATATATATATATATATATATATATATATATATATATATATATATATAAAATATTACGTAACTTGCTCCAGTTTGAAAGTATGATCAACCATACACGACATAATCAGAAAATAAGAGTGATGACTATAATAAATTTAATTTCAACATTCTTAAAATTAGATTAGGGAAAATATTTTACAATATTTTTAAGATTACTGGGTACTTAAAAATTATATAAAAAAGGCGCTCACACGTCATTTTCTTAAATTATGTTTTAACAGCTAAGGTTTCCATAGAACAACTTTAAAGGTGTTGGCAGATTTTATCATCGCTTGTCAAGGGAGCTATGAATGACAAGCGACGGTGATTCACGCGTAATCACCGCTACCGTTTGTTTTAAAAATCCATTTCTCTGCTATTAAATATATATATATTTTTGAAATCAGATTAATTATACTTGAAATTAGCTATTATTCCTCAAATAAAGTTTTTGAAATTTATTCTCAACATTTTAACAGTCTTATTTTAATTTCTTTATAATATATTTTCCATAAAGCATCGTAAACGTAAAGGTAAAAGCTAAGTACCAAAAAAAAAAAAAAAAAAAAAATAGAGCGCTGAAAGTTTTCCTTAAAAATAACGAGGTAAATAGTTTGTTCACTTAAATCTAAATAATTTCACTTCTCTTCCTCCGTAGAAAAGCTTACCCTCACGTAAGCTATCAATGCAAAATGAAATTGTCATTCGTCACCTGTCAAGTGACGCGAGATGTTATGACCTGCTTTGTTTTATTTTCAGATTACATCTTTTCGGTGCAGAAACTAAGTAATGCTTGTTTCAAAATATTTTAAATAAACATTATAATTTCTGAATTTCTTAAAATGAAGTTATGGAAAAATTATAATTGATTTTAAAAGAATTTCAAACTGAGATGTTCATTTTTTTTATAAAATGGAAAAAATGGTTGACATGACTGATTACCTGTCAATTTTTCTGACTAAAAGAAAAAAAAAACAAGATATTTAACGAAAATTTTGGACGTTCTAGGAACGATTAAAAAATGTAAAAAAATACCCAAAAAATGCTTTGATCTTTCCTTTTAATAATAACATAAACATTTAGACGATAAAGTTTTGTTTTCGTCAAGTTTGGCGCCTTTTTCGTCATGCTATGCTCTTTTTTAGCGATCTCATGGAAGTACCTAAATTAAAGCTAAAATGAAAGCTTCAATAATGCTTTTTTATTTAAAAAAAATCATTTTAAACCTTAGGTATATAGAATTCACTGGAAGTGCCTATTTAAAACCATTATCTCTTTTTTCTATCTCTTTAAACTTCACTTTCTATATTCTCTCAACCTTGCAGAAGGCAAGCGTCAAATAAAAAGAGGAGGAAGAAGAAAAGATTGAAATCTGCCAAAAAACGCCGGAAGTTTGCAGGTGCAAAGCCTATGTAGTTGCAACTGAAAGATACCAAATATCAGAGGGGTTCCACGCATAACTTCCGTTATAAAAATTGGAAAAGAAAGGAAAGCCAGAAAATAAAATAATATTGGCCAATCACAACAATTGACACAAAGTGACTTTTGATTTTAGCCGAAACCAATGCTCACGCCAGAGTTTCGGAGCCTGGTCAAAATGGATATAAACTGACACCTTTAGGCTGGAAACAGAAGAGTCGGTGAAAGTATTGACAGACACCCAGACGCAGGAGAAATCACCCATGCGTGACGAGTGAAGAAGTAGGTAAGAGTTCATCCACAAATGATATTTCTGTCTTGCTTAGGGCCGAGAAAAACACAAGAGATTGACACTGACCTAATTTCTTATATTACTACTACGCCTATCATGGTCTAACTTCAAAAACTAACCCTTCCGAACTATTTCCAATCATACTACTAATGCCCGTCTTATCAACGAACTGTTTTTGCTACACCGAATACGAAAAGACTCGAAAACTACGCTAAAAAATAAATAAAACTATATTCATTTTATACGCTTGAGTCAGTTTGTGCTATATTTCTAATATACATCACTAAAATCCTCCTACAATATCCACAACTTCATACATATTCCAGAAAATCCATGATCTCACAATGGCCATTTTGACTGATTAACTGTTCGAGCTTATTCAGAGTCTACCGGGTAGCAGAGAAAGCAATATTAACCGGGTAGCAGATATAGTAACATATAACTTGGTAGCAGAGATAGCAACATATAATTGGGTAGAAGCGATAGTAACGTATAAATGAGTAGCAGAGATAGCAACATATAATTGGGTAGCAGAGATAGCAACGTATAAATGGGTAGCAGAGACTGCAACATATAAATGGGTGGCAGAGATAGCAACATATAACTGGGTAGCAGAGATAGCAACATATAATTGGGTAGAAGAGATAGTAACGTATAATTGGGTAGCAGAGATAGCAACATATAATTGGGTAGAAGAGCTAGTAACGTATAAATGCGTAGCAGAGATAGCAACATATAATTGGGTAGCAGACATAGCAACATATAATTGGGTAGAAGAGATAGCAACATATAAATGGGTAGCAGAGATAGCAACATATAATTGGGTAGCAGAGATAGCAACGTATAATTGGGTAGCAGAGATAGCAACATATAAATGGGTAGCAGAGATAGCAACATATAATTGGGTAGCAGAGATAGCAACATATAAATGGGTAGCAGAGATAGCAACATATAATTGGGTAGAAGAGATAGTAACGTATAATTGGGTAGCAGAGATAGCAACATATAAATGGGTAGCAGAGATAGCAACATATAATTGGGTAGCAGAGATAGCAACATATAAATGGGTAGCAGAGATAGCAACATATAATTGGGTAGAAGATATAGTAATATATAAATGGGTAGCAGAGATAGCAACATATAATTGGGTAGCAGAGATAGTAACATATAACTGGGTAGCAGAGATGGGTAGCAGAGATAGCAACATATAATTGGGTAGCAGAGATAGTAACGTATAAAAGCGTAGCAGAGATAGCAACATACAACTGAGTAGAAGAGATAGTAACGTTTAAATGGGTAGAAGAGATAGCAACATATAATTGGGTAGCAGAGATTACAACATATAATTGGGTAGCAGAGATAGTAACGTATAAATGGGTAGCAGAGATAGCAACATATATTTGGGTAGCAGAGATAGCAACATATAATTGGGTAGCAGAGATAGTAACGTATAAATGCGTAGCAGAGATAGCAACATATAATTGAGTAGAAGAGATAGTAACGTATAAATGGGTAGAAGAGATAGCAACATATAATTGGGTAGCAGAGATAGTAACGTATAAATGGGTAACAGAGATTGCAATATATAATTGGGTAGCAGAGATAGTAACATATAATTGGGTAGCAGAGATAGCAACATATAAATGGGTAGCAGAGATAGCAACATATAAACGGGTAGCAGAGATAGCAACATATAATTCGGTAGAAGAGATAGCAACATACAACCTCGTAGCAGAGATAGCAACATATAAACGGGTAACAGAGATAGCAGCAGATAACTTGGTAGCAAAGATAGCAACATATAACTGGGTAGCTGAGATAGTAACATATAAGCATCCTCGTCATCAGATTAATGCAGAGATTTTTTTAGACGATACTTTTTATCAACTGAAATTGATTTCGCCGAAATATGGGTCTGGTTATTTTTCTTCGATTAGTCATTTTCTATAATTACGCAAATTATGAGGTGTCAGGTCTGTGTTTACGTCAGAAGCGCTCAATTTGAGATAAACAAATGCAAGTTTTGTCACCAAAACATCATTTTGTCTCTCATTAGCCGCATCTTACAACTAGCTTTCGGCTTCTAATATATATATATATATATATATATATATATATATATATATATATATATATATATATATGAGGAAACAATGTATATTTTTATACAACAAGAACAGTGTTGTGGGAATTGCATGACAAAGTGGAAACAGTTTACTTGAGACGCGTTTCGTCTTTCAGGATTTCATCGCAATGAATTTAGCTAAGTAAACATTTTTAATTTTGTCATATATATATATATATATATATATATAAAAAATATATATATATATAGACCAAAGGAAAACTTGACTTTATTCATATTGTCCTTTTATAGATATACTCTATCTGAAATTTTTACATGTACAGGGTGTCCCAATAATTGTGTAGATACTTTAAATAATTATAACGTCAGTGATTATTCAAATATATTTCATTTTCAAAATTTTATATATTAAAGACATTATTTTATTGTTTTGTCAACACCTGTTTTCAAACTGACCTCCCTTTTGGCCCAGACGATGCTGACAACGTGAAGCAATGGAATCGCAACCATTTACATTGGTATTTTGTACATTCTCGTTCAATAACTGTTTTCAATTCAGAGAATGTTTCAGGTTTCATAGCGAGACATTTACTTTTAAGATCCCCCCCAAAAAAAAAAAGTTTGAGGTCTGGTGAACGCAGAGTGTGTTCTACGAAACCCCTTCGTCCAATCCACATGTATAGCAAGATTTCATCATGGTAGGATCTACCTCCACTGTTCGGTCTGGATCATCGTCTTTAATAAGATTGACTGATCTTGGAATGTAATGTTTGTATTGACAACGCTTCAGAATTTGTTGGACAGACTATTTTGAAATACCTACCTCACGTCTCGCTTGCCGCACAAATTTTTCTTGGACTTGGTGATATCTTTTAAGTATTCTTTCTTGCTCTGTGAGGTTTGTCGATGTACGAGGTCTTACGGAACGGTCCTTGTGGACATTTTGAACGGTTCCATCGACTTCAAACTTATCTTTAATTCGAGTGATGGTAAATCACGTTGGGGAATCTGTTTGAAACTCCCACCTAAGCTGTCTTTGCACTTCAACTCCGTTTGTGCACTTCCAGAAGCATTTTAGAATTAATTTTCTTTGCTCAAAGCTTAGTTTGAATGTCGTCATTAATTCTAATGTTTTTTTTTAAAAAAAACCATCAATTCAACTTTCAGCTTTTAACGTGTAGATACATTTTGGGGTACCCTGTTTGTATATTATCGTTTCTGATTGACTTGTTATATAGATAAAGGCAACGTCACATGCATACACATATATATTATTTATGTATTCTTTTTCTTACGTTGATAAGAATACTCAATTGTAAATGATTTTTAAAGAGCATTTTAATACTACTAAAAATAATATCTTTTTTTATTTAGTTACGAATTATTTCGTCCGAGGAGCGCTGGCGCATTCATTTTGAAAACATGAAAAGCACAATAGATATCTGAAGTGGCGAAGATAAACAAACTTCGATTTACATAGAGATATCTATCTATCTATCTATCTATCTATCTATCTATCTATCTATTTCTGATACTGACGAGAATTTTTAAAATCGGTCGAAAGATAAGTCATTTTAACCATTCATACTTTACTAACTACTGTCGCTCAAGCACTTCCTCCATAAGAATTCAGTTTGGTTTATATATATATATATATATATATATATATATATATATATATATATATATATATATATAAAAAAGAACAGTAAGATATATAATTCGGTGTTCTTATAGGTATTTTTATTTTTACAAAATAGTGCTCGATGTAAATTTACAATGCATTAATTATTAAATTAATTGATTTAAAATATGGTTTTTTTCCGCTACACAGTTCTAACCATGTCTCAAAATGGAAGCTAAAGCCACGAATTTAATTTTGCAATTAAATTAAAGACATTAGTTCCATTTCATCCTCAAGCGAATTTTTGGAGTAATTTTAAAATTACTGGGTTTTAAAGGCACAGTTAAAATCACGTTTCCATGGTTACAGATAAATCTACTTCAACTGGACAAGGGGTGTCTGGGTTTTCTTATGTCTGTATCATTGTATCGGTTATTAGCTACATTTTGGTAAGGGGTAGGGGTGTATTTTTCAATGAAAAACTGACATCCGTTGAATGCATGTCGTCTGGATTTTTTTAAATTTATTGTTAACGGCAAAAAATTTTAATATATATATATATATATATATATATATATATATATATATATATATATATATATATTAAGACATTTTTATGTTTATACATTCTTTTTATAGATACAAATATTTGAGTAATTGTATTGCATCTTGCAAGTTTGGTTCTAAAGATTATTGTCGGCTCTGCAAGTATGTGCTGAACAACAGAAAACCCACAATCCCTGCTATATTCAATCGATTTAATGTCCTAACTTCCTCAGTTGATAAGACTCTATCCTGGGTCCTACACTGTTCTTGATCTTCATTGACGATCTTCTTGAGGTCATCAGTTCTGAAGTAGGTATCTATGCAGACGACATCACCATTTACCCTTGTCTCAATAGTAAATCCAACGTTAATGCCAAAGTCAACCTGGCCGTTAGTCTTGAAAAGGACCTCCAATCTGTGGTTGACTGGGACAGGAAATGGCTTGTAAACTTTAATGTCTCCAAAAACGAAACTGCTTTCATTTAACCACCGCAGAGATACCTACCTGCCTCCTATCAGCACGGCTGATGCTCAACTCCCCGAGAGTGTCTCTCTGCGTGTTCTTGGTCTCACGTTTACCACTAACTTGAGATGGAACGACTACATTGAATCAATAGCTTCATCTACCGCAACGAAAGTTTGTTATTTGTATTGCGCCAGAAGGTTTTTTTTTGGTCTGAGACTTTCCTTCAAGTTTACAAATTCGTCCCTGCATTGTTTGCTGTTGCCTTATATGGTCAGGTGCCCCCACTGTTCCTCTCGAGGTTCTCGACAAAATCCAATGAAGGATATGCAATGTGATAGGTCCTCACCTAGCATCTCGCTACAGTCACTTTCTCACAGACGTGATGTGGCTTCCCTCTGTCTTTTCTACAAATATTTTCATGAGAAATGCTCTGACGAGCTATTTTCACCGGTGCCACAACTGCATGAATTTAAGCGTGCTACTCGATTGGTATCTCGCTCCCATTCTTTCACTGTCGAAACAGTTAAATGTAACCGCCTCTTCTACTCCAACAGCTTCTTCTCTCGCACTTCCCGACAGTGGAACTCCCTTCCTCTTACTTGCTTCCCTGATAGCTATAATCTTCAAATATTCATATATAATGTCAATCGGCATCTTCTGATGCCTTGATCTTGAGCCCCGGACTTCTCTTTATCCTTTTCTCAAACACCCCTCTTTACTCTTGATCTCACTCTCTGTAACCCATTTGCGTGCTAGTGTCACCCCCGCCTTGCTTGGGGTGAAGTGCTCAAAAAAAAAAAAAAAAAAAAAAAAAAGCAAAGAGTTACCCCCCTTGATTTTCAAACGTAGATTTAACAACTGCCTAAGTAAACGTCATTTTTTAAACAAATGTTAGAATTTCTAATTTTTATTTTCAAGTGCAATTTTGAACCTAAATTTCAATTCAAAATTAGATTATAGTGAAATTAAATATTTGACAAGTATAATAATTTATCCAAACAACACCACGAACTCGTGAGAGCCCAAACTATCCAAACTGTAAACAAAGACCAGTACGTGATTGCATGAGGCAAAAACCTCCGATTTGTACTGTCGGCATAGGATATTATGCATTTTTATTAATATATATATATATATATATATATATTAGATTGTGCTGTATATATATTATATCATAAAGAGGCAATTACACAAAGAATTAATTAGCACTGTTAATGTAATAATTTACCGAATTACTAAATTCAAACAAAATTCTCACTTGAAATGTTCAAACACAAACTCTAGCGTTGCAACATCGCACGATCCAAACTGTCACTAAATAACATATTTAAAAAAAAAAAAACATCTTTCGGTCTCCACTGCGTTTATTTTGTCTTGGAGTTTACCTATAAATGGAAAAATTACGCCCTGAGGATGAAAATTGAAATTTTCGAAAATATTCGGCCTAGCAATATCAAATCTATCTGACAAAAATTTAAACATAAGGATCATGTTATTCAATGAATTGTTAGTAAGTTAATGCCTTATTAAGTCTTGTTAGCGAAGAGATTTCGCCATTAATTACATTGACATTGATTATTAATTTTACCTTTTCATAATATATATATATATATATATATATATATATATATATATATATTTTGTTTGAATAAAAACAGACCACTTTAAGGTTCCATGTAAATAAATTATTTCACAAGCCTTTTAACGAAGTGAGGAAGTCAGAATTTACTTATGCTTAATATGGCCTGTCAAAAATGTGTAAATTTTTTGACGTTCATTTTTCATTTCAACCTTTGAAGTAAAGTTCGATGATCCGCAGTCCTTAAAAATGGCTGTGGTGAAATAATTTATTACATGGAACTTTAAAGTGGTCTGTCTTTATTCAAACATATTTGCTCTGAATTTACATTGAGCTTCTGGATATCATCCTCCTTGGTCTACCCATACGGATTACCTAGTTTTTCATAAACTAACTATATATATATATATGTGTGTGTGTGTGTGTGTGTGTCTGGAGAAAAATTGAAAGAGACAATGAGAGAGTATGTATATTTTGTGAAAAGGAGAAAGGGGTGTGGAGAGTGGGGTTTCAGATGAGGTAAATGA